CCCCCCCCTTACTTGAATGCTGCAAGCCAAGTGTGCATTTTTATATAGCCACCAGAAGACAGACGTGCTTGAGGACACTTGGATCTGTGCCTGCGCAAGTGACCATCTTCTATTGTCTTTGCACAACCTGAGCAAAGATCATTTTCAAAGCAAGACCTTTAACAAATATAAATATATAAAATATACCACTTAAGTGGTAATATTGGTTTATATTTTTGTCAATAATTCAAGCTTGTGCTCTAACTGCCATAAGAGACCCTGATAACGACCTCTTTGAAACATGGAAATTGCAGGGGCTGGGTGTGAAAATTCCTCTACAGGGTGTAACAAATTTCCTTAAAAGCTTCTGTACTGTACTTCTTTCACATACACCGGAAATGTGATTTCCCAAGAACCTTGCCTTTCTTTGTGCTCTATTTTTGTTGGCCATGTCAGGTTAAATATTTAGTTTATACATTTTCTATTCGGTTTCCTATGGTCAAAAAGATCAAAGAAACTCTATCTGTTGTACATTAACTCATTAAGGTGATTATCCCTGTTAAATAAAGAAGAACTCCAGTCTAAGCTAAAATGTATGGACTCCAAGAAAAAGATTTTGCAGTAACTACAAACATTTTAATTTAATATAGTCATGTATCAACTGATTGTGCTTGGAGAAACACTGGTATGCAAATTAGCAGCACTGTGATTTGCTATACCCCGATAGGCTTTGAGGTGCACATAATTGTCAGCATTTAGAGGTTGTGTCACGAAAATACAGACTATAAAAAAAATACACTTTTGAAAAGATTACACTGCACAGACGTTGTATGGTCTTTTGCCTGCCCTGGCACTATAATGTCACCCTAAAGGTGTCCTTACACCTTACAAGTTGCCAGTTGATGGGAAGTGCACAACCTCAATTACTGTACAACTGTGGGATTTTTGTCTTTCAAGCAGGCTCAACATTTTTTGTTTAGTTGGACGAAAACCGACAGGTTTGTGGCGTTGTACAACAAAAATCTCAAGATGAAAACTGCACATGCCCAACTGAAAATCTGTTCTTTAGATTAATGAAAATTGGCCAGTTAGTGGTGCTGACAAACCTTAATTGTGACCTACATTGCTCTGTACAGGGCTAGTTGAACGAAAATTGAACGAGGGTAAGATGTCTGGACAAAAAAAGTTGTACAATTGTTGTAAGGTTTATGGCCACCTTTAAGCTGTGTTCACTTGGGGTTGCTGGATAGCCATGGGTCAAACCTGCGGCAGCACAGCACATTCTCATCATTCTCTGATCTGCTGACCAAAATGATTTATTCAGGGTCTGTTATCAGTTTCCGGAGAATGGTGTCATCTCTGGAGCAGTAGATGGCAGTCTAGTATTCCCTGGAGCTTCTGGAGGCAGAATGGTGT